CCATGTCCATTTTGGAAGGCTTGAATTTCATCCTGCAGAGGCTCAGAGAGGCTCACAGGCTAATAGCAACCAGGGGTTTTCTTGTCCAGGTGGCTCACCCCAAAGGGATTCTTCAGAGTATGTTCTGAAACTCAAGAGAAATGTGTTGCAAAAAGTCTGTGTTGCAGCAGTTTGGTTCTGAAAGGTCCATGATGACTTATCCTTGATAATTGTGGAGATCTGGGTCTTTTTGGGCCTGAATCTCCATTTTGGTGAAGACCCTTCCGAAGTTCACCCCAGGCAGCTTCATGGGAAAGAGAGTGTCTTAAGGCTGATGTATTCTCAGCCTCTGCTGCACCTCTCCCAAATTGTAGGTGACCGCACACCATGCCACAGACAGGAGGCCTCTGATTGGTCAAATCTACATTTGTTGTACTCTATGCATATTTCCTGTTCGGTACCCTTCTGGCTTGTTTAGTTTATTTGACCACCATTGTGGAAAACGACTAGTGAAGTTGGACCAGGTAGAAGAGTGAGGTGCACCTGAACACTGGATCCCCGCTCTTTTTTTCACCCTTTCGTTGTCGCACAAACTTGCTCCCACTTCCTCACTGCCTCGGCTGTATCTAGACCCACAGCTAGGTTGTGAATGTCCTCTTGCCTTGTGGCGTGGAATAACATACAGCAGACCATGCTTCAATATTGAGCATAAATCAAAAAAGCTCACTGTGACACTCTGCTGCAGGGAGTATAACCAGCCCTTTACAGCTGCTTATGAACCAAATTTGTATCCTCTTCTCTGGTCATCATGTCAAGATGAAATATGGACACTGGTTTTCAATGTCCAAAAACCATGATCATGGCATATGGCACAGCACTGACTATACAGATATTCAATGGATATAGCCAGAAATAGTAAATGTTTGATTGATTGACTTGATTGATCTCACAGTGTGAAAAATTTCCTTTTTCTTTTTTGATTGATTGATAATTTGTGGTTTTCTGACCACAGTATCGCAAAACCAATTTGGTATGATCCCAAATGGAGGATGTGTAATAGATGAAGAATTTACAGCGGCTGGAATTTACAGGGATGGCTATGATTAGTATTTGACTTTCCAGGAACAAAAAGCTTACCAACCAAGAAAATGTGGTGGGTCATAATAGAGAAGCATGATCTGACTGAGGTGACAGCAGTTTAAATATTATTCCTGATAATAATTGCAGTTTTTGGCTCTTAGTCTTTTGAGAAACAAAACTATGTTGCATTCAGTGCAGCATTACCATGGTTAGATGGTTAGAAAAACTGAATCTGTATCTTTTGGTTGGTAATAAATTGGCCAAAGTCATTGACTTTGGATGTGTAATGTTTTCATTCATTTTTCATGCATGCATTTATCTCTCCTCACCAGGGTGAAAACAAACATTTAGTTTTATAAGTGCAGAGTGATGCAAAGCCACAGAGGAATGTCAGAAGCAGACACCAGATGATAACAGCTCCTTTTAGAAATGGAGTTTACGTTTTTTGATGGCAAACAGTAGATATATCAAGTTGAATACCAGAGAGGAAATGTGATTCCTGGTTGGAGTCTTTACCAAACATTTTATACTATTGTGAATTACTTGAATCTGATCAACTGTAAACTATTTCCAATGTCCAACTTTTTATTAGTTTCCAGAAAGACTAAAGTCAGATTTTTTAACTTTTCACTCATGTGATGGATTGCTCTAAGATCAATCACTCACTTCAAACAGTAAAACTCAGACTTAAATCTTAGATCGGGATTGTCTTTTTTTTTTTTTTTTAGCTCTGCTTGTGTAAATAACTATTTTCAGTTTTATTTAAGTTTTAAGCCTAAGAAGAAAAATAAATAAGAAAGGCTGTGCTGATCTAAACTTGTCTTAATCAGACAGAGAATAGTGCTGAGTCATAAATTATCCCTTGCCAGTCTTTGCGATCACAGGCATTTCGTTTTCCGTTGGAAATAGGGATTCAGCCCTTTTCTGTCATCTCTCTGATGCTTCTGTATTATAATTTTATCTAACCATCAATCTGCTGAGCGACAAGCAGGTGGATTCTAGACACAGGTCAGAAAAAATCACTGAAACTTTGCCAAGTGCTGTTAAACTGTTCAACACATTCCAAACAGTTTTTCCAAACATAGTTTTATTTTCAAGGCTTACATTCATTTTTATGTCAACATTTCTAGCCCCCTAATAATTGACATTTTTATTGAGCCACAGCACAAACCACTGCTGTCCAATCATGTGTTTTGATTCTGTAATGTTCACAGTTTGTAATCAGGCAGTTAACTGTAAAGTGAAGGTGGCCCAAAGAGTTTGAGTCATTAAACCACCTTTTCTTGAGGAAGCATCCTGCAAAAACGAAATAATTTCTTTTTAATTTGAGAAAAATAATTGTAGATGCTAATGCAGGATGTATACAAAGTTATCACAGCATTTCCAAGAGTCTAGAAGTGGAGTGAGCAGAGTGCCATATGGTACAGAACAAGTCTGGCAGAGGAAAGAAAGAAAGATTTCTAAGACTGTGAAAGAAAACTAGTGAGAGATGTCTGAAGACCCCAGATCAACTTCTAAAACATCAGTTAATGATATACCCAAGTCAGGGATTGTTGTTTAAATGTAAACAGTGCAAACTATTGACTACACAGATAGTTGTTCAAAAACAATTAATCACAGGTGTAATAAGCAAAAGAGGCTAAAGATGATTGCACACCGCAGTTTTCTGATTGGATAGTAAATGTTCTTGAAAACTTCCCTGCATGTCATGGACTGTGTTAGTTCATTTGACTTTCTGATAAAATCCCCAAAGTCGTATCGAGAAGAGCTGCAGATGACAAGTGATATTTGCACAACCTTCAAAAAGATGTTTTAACTCATCTTGTTTTTTACAGCTGTACAGCCAGATCTGATTGCTGATTCATCTCTCAGTGTTTTTCTAACTGAAGCTGAATGCTTTGAACCAAAGATTAGCTGGATGGGTTCATTGAGATCAGCTAAACTTTCTCAGACAGACAGTGTGAAGTTTAAAACATTCAGCAGCAGCACTCGCTTTGGTTTAGCTTACAGACACCTTAATGATGGTTCACTGAAATTCTCCTGTTATACAGATTACTGTTGTTGGAAAGAATATATATGAGAGAAACAGGCAGATGCTGGTGCTCTGCTTAAAACCAGCTTAAAGCTAATGTGAGAGGTGAAGCTGAACAAGAATATTGGTTTTAGTAAACAGACATGCAAGGTATGATGGTCTGAGAAATGAGGACCAAATAGTTTCCTACAGAGTAAGAGGCAGACAGAGATTGTGGCTGTGGGTGGGTGTACTGCAGGAGGGGAGCTGATACGGCCAAGGTGCAACTGCTTGATTGAAGTGCAGTCTGGAGAGATGTAAGTGGTGCCAACCCTGTGCACAATAACTCATTCATTAAAAATTAATTTGCATGTTCAAGCACCCAAGACCAGACCTAAAACAACTTAAGAAAAATGTGTTGTCAGGGAGGTGAGAGCACAGCCAGAACATCCAGATGAGTTTAATGATAAACACTCCTATGTTTCTTCTTCTGGAGAATCCAAAATAACTTTATCTTAACTAATCGGGTTCCATCGATATTAACTGTTGTAGGCTGGTCAATAAGGTAAGCAGCTGCCAACCACCATCACTGCAACCAAAGAGATCTAAAAATTAGTAGAAATGTTTTAAAATTAGTTAATTCCAGCAGGTAAATGCAATGATCTGCCAATTTAATTAGGGGTTTTGCCCTTAAAAATAAGATGATTCACTTGAAATACATTTTAAATTAAATAAATTAAAATAAAATGAATGTTTTATTGTATTTTATTTTTTCATTTTAAACATGAATCTTTTTATTCAGTTGACAACTTGTTTTATTTCCCTGCTTAAATCAAAGGGGAAACATAATTATTTCAAGAGAAATTGACTTTGATTTGATTTTTAAATAAATAATGTTTAGGGCTGCTCAGTGGAGCAGTTGGTAGCTCTCCTGCCTTGCAGCAAGAAGCAGGGTTCAATTCCCGGCCCGCCTCTTTCTGCATGGAGTTTGCATGTTCTCCCTGAGCATGCATGGGTTCTCACCTAGTTCTCCGGCTTCCTCCCATAGTCCAACAAAAACAATACTTAGGTTAACTGGATTCTCAAAATTTTTTTTTTACTTTTGTTTTTTGCTTAAATGCTCTGAATTCCCATTATAAATAACTTGTTATTATGATACTTGTGTCTGGTAGATCTTAAATAGAAGGTAGCATTACTTAAAGTTCATATAACTTAGCAATTATGGGTTTCTCTCGGTGACTATAAGTCATTCTCAAATATGCCCTGTAAAATTTTTTGTTGATAAATTTCTTTAGGACAACAAAATTTCGGGAAGAAGGCCAATAAAGTAAAAACGTTTTTTAGTCTGTGAAATCACGGGTTCTGCAGGTGTTTGAGGAATGCACTGCAACCATACATCCATGCCCTCACAAAAGCTCATTTCCTATGAACTATGGCAACAGCTTGCTTATGGGAAAAGTAAAATAAGATAATTTCAATTTCTTACATAGAATACAGATGTGTAGAATACAGATGTCTAATGTCACAGATGGTACGGATCGTGCAGTGATAGAGTTTCATAGAACATACATTATGACACCTATTTGTAGTATAATTGTCTCATAAATTCACTGCCTTGAAATGAAGCAAACTCCCTAAATGAAAGCTACCAAATGTTTGACATCAAAGTTGAATTCTAGTCTATTTTACAACATAAAATATTCACCACCCATCTTAGTGGGTCATCAGTGATACTGTATACTGACAGTTTTTACATTGAAGATGTTTTATTTAACATTAGCATTATGCTGCTTCTTTCAGTTTTCACAGAGGGGTTAAAGTGTTAGTTTTTTCTATTGGAAGCAGAAAAAAAACGTATTTTTCAAAATGATGAATGTAAATTCTGTTTGACCTGATCTGTGTGTTTCGGGTCTTCTTTCGCCATCACCAGGGCGTCGGCGCCGACCCCCACACCGCCTTGGCCCTGCCCAGTGATTCCAAGCTGACCAAGGAAAAAGCAGAGGATCCGTGGTTCCAGCTGCCAGACTCAGAGGAGATGAGCATCAGGATAGGTAGAGCTGGACCTTTCTCAGGCAAGCCCCCGCCCCTTCATATACCAACATCAGCTGTTTTATGCTCTGCTTCAGATGTCCAAATGTGTTCTATGAAAAATTAAGTGTTCACGCCTGAAGCTATTGGGGTCACACTTTTTTTTACAGCTGTGATGGAAAATTAATAATTCTGCTTTGATGGGAACCAAAACAGAAAAAGGCTAAAAAAGTGTGACTCCACTAGCTGAGAGCCCTTAGCTGACCTTCTATGATGGCTACTCACCAGATCTTTCTATGGTGCCTTTCTCGTTTCTCTGTTTTCACTTTCCTCTCCTGGAAACTGGACAGGTTGCTGACACAGGACACCTACAGCTCCTATTGATACAGTTTATAAATTGCCCTTTAGCATAGCATTAGAGTTGAGCCTAAAAAGGAAATTAAAGTAGAAACACTTTCATTTTTTTGGTAGCAAATACACAACATTTAAGTTCAGACTCTGAGAACGAATACGAGTCTGATGTTATGGATCAGAGATCTAAATTGCAAAGGAAAGGGTGCGATCAATGCAGGCTGAGCTCTGCTGAAAGTTTGAAGGTTGTGGACCTGTGTTTTAATAACCTTTATTGTAAAGTACCTGCATATAGGAATAAAACAGTTTTCTTTTAGTTAGTTATGAACAGTATGTCTCCTTTAAATGTGTTTCACTCTGGAAGATCTCCTGGGAAATCATCTTCTGTTGATAACAATAATCACCTGATAAATCATTTCATGCATGCGACTCATCTCACTGTCACTAAAAACGCTGATGGCTTTATCAGCTCAAATCCTTTCACTGTCTGAGACAAACAAGGGCTCTGGTTTCCTGGTCTTCACCTAAAGGGGAAAACGTGCGGAAAGATTAAAGAAATGATGAGATTTTTTTAATCATTAAATATGAAAATACACCAATTTTTGACTGAAGACTTTAAGTCATCAAAAGGAGAAAGCTTTAGGAATAAAACCAAAGAAATCGTTAATAATAATAATAATAATGATGATAATAATTATAATAATAATTACAAAGGCTTTCTGATGATATATTGGAAAGTGTTCCTCTTAAATATGCAAAGAGGACATTGAGTAGTAATAAGAGTAATAAAAAAAAAACAAGCCTCACAAGGAAACCCACTGGTAACTAGGGATGTGGGAAAAAATTGATTTGGTGATATAACGTGATTTTCGGCTACCAGATATAATATCGATCATTCAGTTCCTAATATCAATTTTAAAAAGACAACATTTTTTTTTACCTAAAACAATGATGGAAAATGGGCGTACTCTGCAGACAGCGCTGTGGAGTCCTTTTGCTGTGCGGCCGGCGCCATATCTGCAGTTGTAGACGTGGACTGACTCTAACCCAAAACAACATGGATACCAAAATAAGTAAATTATCAGTATCTTCTGATAAATATATACAGCACTTGCTTTTTTATGTATACATTTGATTTTGATAGCTGGGAAAAATATTGCAATATATAGTGATAATGCAATATCTTGATATTACTGTTTTGTGACTCAAATATCGTGACACGTATTGTATTGCACCAACTTGCCAATACTTAATACTCACCCCTACTGGTAACATGCTAAATGGTATGTGTGGTTTTACCTTGAACAGATCGTCAACATGCTTAGTCATTTAGTTTCTGTGCTCCTGACTAAAGGTGCGTTCACACTGAATGCATTCTGGGTGTAAAAGCATCTGATTTTAAATACAAGGTCTATGGGGGAGGCCGTCAAACAGCGTAAAGAGGTCCTGTGGCATGTCCGACCATCGGAAGCGGCGCATCCCAGCACCCTGCCTTCTCAGCGTTTGATGCTGGAGTTCAGAAACCTGAACTTTGGCAGCTTGATATAGATTGTCAGCCAATCAGAAAAGCTAATCCAGGAGTCTTTTGGGAGACAGAGACTACCGATATGCAGAAGATCTGCTGCTCCAAACAACTGCTGCATATTTTTCAAAATGTTCTTAGTGTGAGGGATTGTATTTGAGTCAATGAGTCGATGCAATCAACTGGTTTCTTTAGATAGAAAACTTTGTATCAATTTCACTGTATGATCTAGTTGAACTGTAAAGTGCTTTGAGATGACATGTGTTGTGAATGTGGTGCTATATAAATAAACTGAATTGAATTGAAATAGAATTTTTAAAGGATCATACTCCTGATTACTAATTTAACTACAAAGAATTATTTTTGAAGTGGACTTTATTGCTTAAAAACGAGTTTAAACATTGTTTTCAACTAATCAAATTAGATAAATCCAAGCCGCTCTCTAGAGTCCAAAATTCACAGTTGAAGCACTTTTGAGGGCAAAAACACTTTCAGTGTGAAAGCACCATAAAGGTGAAAAACTTTTATTCTGTGAGTCTTTGGTCCCCTTAAAGATCTCCTTCATAACCTGAAGCACAGTAACAGTAATAGACCCAGGCCGTTTCTCAGTATGTGTACTTGTGCGTTCTCATGTGCTCATGTACTTGTGAAACGTCATCACCCTCAGCCCTAGTACTGTTCCAAGTCACAAGAAGAGCAGACCAAGAACCGACCATGGATGTTGTTCTTGACTCTCCCTATTTACCCAGCATGCATCAGAGCAGACTTGTCCATTTCTGAGTTTGACAGCTGTCCCAGCATGCACTGCGGCAGCAACAGCTTTCAATGGAGCGCTCACAGAGCTCAGAGTATTGAGTGAAACGTTCTCTTTTCTGTTGCTGTTGTTCAATAAAAGTACGTTTTAAGATAAATTGAGGCGAGAACATTATACTTTTAAGCGTCACTATATGGCCCATTTACCAATTTAATGTGTAATTCAAAGAAACATTTCTGAAGTTGAGAAAACAGCTGTAACCAGCAGAATTGTGAGGGTAATGGCAGCCAGGGCTAACCCTATCCCGTCTGCAGCTGCCCCGTGAAAATGTTCATTTGATTTGTGTTTATCTGACTGTGTTAATTATTAGTCCCCAACTAAATGAAAAAAGTCCAAATTTATTATTTTCTAGAGACTGTTAATAACAGGTGAAACGTACAGGCCGAGCATGTAGTGATGTCATGGGTACGCTTCTGTCCCAGTTGCCCCATTTATGCTGCGTGCTCCCGTTCTCCCCAAGTCAATACTTTCCTGCATGCTTCTCAAGAACATAATTGGCAAGGACTTGAGCCTGTACTCGCGTTCTTGTGAATTGAGAAACGGCCCTAAATATTTTCACCAAATTGTTTTTAAACCAATCTTTATTCATAATGGTGTTCTTAGATATAAATCTGAATTAGTTCACTGCGCTGGCTGAGATGCAGCCAAATTACTATTAAATATTGGATTCTTTGGTTTATGCATTCATAGTGCTCGCCTTTTTCTCTCTCTGGGGTATCAGAAAAATCAATATCTATTTAAAATAATTCTGCACCAGTCCTCTGCTGTTCTTTAATTTTCAGTATTTTATTCAGCATTTGGACAGAAGTGACCCCTTTCCCCGCTTTTCTTGTGATGAGGCTGTTATGATGGAGATGTGGTCATACTTACCAGCTGCCAGAGATGAACAATCTCTGCATCAGTAGCAGCATAATTATTTAGTCATCTCCTCTCTTCAAAATATCCCCTCAGGCTCAGATGTTTTAGAGCTAAATCTGTCACACTGAAGTTCTGGAAGAACCAGATAGCTAAAAAAATTTAGCTTCAGCATTACCTCAGTAAAATTTGACACTTTTTGCTAAGTGATGGCAGTTGCTTGCTTCCCTATAGGACTTTCTAAAAAAAAGAGGATATCAACTGAAATCACTGCAGTTCCTCTGTGAAACAATTTGTCAGCTAACTCTATTTATAGTGACTTTATCTGGACTTTTCCCAGCTTTACATATGCTGTTAAGTCTTGTAAGGCAAGACAATCATACATTAGATGAGGGATTTTCCTGATAAATACAGCTGTTGTGCAAAAATCCAAAGAATGTATCCTGGGAACACAAAGACTGAAGCTGCAGTGTTTGCAAAACGGGATTTCATCCTTGAAAGAACTACTGGCCATGAGTCCACCTTATTCTCTCCCTCATTAAAATGTAAAAACTTTCCTCTTTTTTTTTTGTCAGCCTTCACGCATGACCTTAAAGAAAATCTGACTGTTAACCAATGAATATTTAAAGGTGCAATGCATCTGTAGAAGAGTTAACTGCCCGCCATGTAAATGATAAGTCTTCTTTTAACCACAGTTGTGTTCATAGGCTCCATAAGTCTGTTCATAACACATGGTTTCGGGTCATAGTTTTGTGTCGTGAGCGTGGGTATGACTGCGCTCTCTCGTTCACCTGCTACTCTGTCTCCACCGCCATTGATGCATTAGTGAGAAAACACAGGCAACTGTTTTTTGAAGGTAGGTCACAAAACACCAGCAATATTAGGGGAGGGGCCCGCCTTGCGGTTAGGGCATAGAGCCTGAAATCCTGAGGTTCTGAGTTTGAGACCCGCTCCCACATACTGCCACTTAGGGTCTCTGAGCAAGACCCTTAACCCCACACTGCTCCCTGGGTGCCCCAATGGGGTGGGTCCAATGCAGAGGAAATTCTCTCCAATGTGAGATCAGTTAAATTAAATTAAACCTTCACTGATTTCACACCCAAGTAAAATAACAAAACCTTTGTCTAATGAAAAAAAGACCAAATTGGAGTTTGATGCTCAATTGAATAAGAGGAAAGTAATGAATGATGATAGCTTTCTTATCTTTCTTACGAGAGTCTGCTGCGGCAATAGTAACTTGCACTTTGCAGCTTTATTTTAGTGTTTATTAGCTTTATCTCTTCTGGGAACATTTTTCTTAACTTTCATCTCTAAGCATAGTTATAAGGTTAAATAATATCACATGAGAATACCTGACTTAGCACCTCTGCTTTAATCCGTCTCAAAAGAAGTTAATCAAGTTGGGTTTAAGATTTTGTCCAGGCCAGTCGGCTATTTCCGCACTGATTCGCCTCATCCATGCTTTATGCAGTGGAAGGCAGTCCTGCTGCAACAGGGAGTGG